CTAGTTTGCTTTTAGATTAAAAAAAAAAAAAAGTTGAAGTTAGGTATGGTGGCTAATGACTGTAATCTCAGCACTTGGGAGGTTGAGGTAGGAGGATTGCCAGAAGTTCAAGGTCAACCTGGGCTACATAGTAAGTAAGTCAGCTTGAACTATAGAGTGAAATACTATTTCAAAGAAAAAAAGTGACTTTTTTTTCCCTCTGTAAATCAATGAGACCAATTAAAATGCCAACAAGGAGCACTTTTAGAAAAATTCTCAAGGCAAAGAAATATAATGGCCATAAAAATTATGAAAGATTATGAAAGAGAATTTTGTGAAAGAGAAAGCCTGGTCTTAGAAGTATTAAACTCATTGTAAAGCTACAATAATAAAAGTTTTCAGCAATGGAGAGCGAGCAGGCAGGGAGTGGTGCAAAGTAAACTTCCAAAAATTAGCCCAAGTGAGTACTGTGTGCCAGGCACTATTCAAGATGCTAAATAGTGGGTACCAAACAAAATGGACATAAATTCTTGCCATTTGCATTAGTTTTTCATCACTCTGACCAAAACACCTGAGAGGGACTAGCTGCATGCTAGGTTGGCCAAACTCCCGAGCTCCAGGTCTGGGAGAGACTCTGTCTCAAAGGAATAAGTCAGAGAGTGACAGAGAAAGACTCTACTTGATGCCTACCTTCTGCTTTCTTCTAACACACACACACACACACACACACACACACACACACACACACACACACATATTCCTCATAGAGCTCAGGTTACAGACGCACAAAAGACCACACTGGGCTTGTTACTTGGGTCCTAGGATCCAAATTCAACTTCATGGCTGCACAGTAAGTGCTCTTAGCCAATAAGCCATCTCTCCAGCCCTACATCTTTAAAAAAAAAAAAATTATTATTTTTATTTTATGTGTATGAGTGTGTTGCCTGCATGTATGGAGGTGCACCCATGTCTTGCAATGCCCACAGAGGTCAGAAAAGACTGTCAGATCCCCTGGAACTGGTGTTACAGACAGTTGTTAGCCGCCATGTGGGTGGTGGGAACCAAACCCAGGTCCTCTGCAAGAGCAAACTGAGCCATCTCTCCAGCCTCCTATCTATTTCTTTAAAAGCACCCTACTAAGTACTATTAGAAGAAAGAAAGAAAAAAACAAACTTCAAAGAAAGAATATGGTCCTACATCCTACGCTTTTTGAAATTGTTTTAAATTTTCAGGAAAATCTTATGACCTTCTTTTTCTTTTTTTTTAGTGCTTTAACTGAAACCTTGTACCTTTAGGCTCTGTTGGAAGCAATCTGTACCCAAGGCCAAGCTGAAAAGTTCCAGAGGACCTGCAGAGCTGCCAACCAGGGTGTTTAATGAGCAAAACTTAAGAGCCAAATGCAAATAACTAGCAAACACCAGATGGCAGGGGTCAGGCAGGATATCTCCTCAAAGAGGTAAAGTCTGAGCCTTGGTCAGGCCCAGAGAAAGATAAATGACTCCCATCTGACTAGGGGAGGGGAGAGGGTGAGGGGGTTCATGCGGCTAGCCCATGCACTTCTGCAGGGTGAGAGAAGGGGTCTTTATACCTCCAGTCAAGAGCCGAAGATGCAAAAGGAATAAAGCAGTTAAGGCAGCTGTGGTGGAGATGGGCTTTTTGGTGATGGAGATGAGCTGTTTTGTCCAATGTGAAAACTCACCCACAGGGCTTTTTTTTTTGTCATCATATGAAAATTTATTACTCCTGTGTTTCCATCATCAACACTTAGGATCTTGGTCTTTCCTTCTTGCCTTTGTACAGAGCCAAAAGAGACACATTGGCTACTTTAACAACCTTAAAGCAGACTCCAGGAATATCACCAACTGCATGGCCTTTCCGACCAAATCCAGCAACCAGAACTTCATCGTTTTCCTCAATGAAGTTCAGGCAACCATCGTTGGGCACAAAGGCTGTGATCTCCTGCCATTCTTGATGAGCTGGACCCTGATACACTTCTTGATAGCCGAATTTGGCTGTTTAGCTTCAACCCCCACTTTTTCCGGCACGAGGCCCTTGGCATGAGAAGCACCTCCAAAAGGGTTGGCTGTAAGGGCTGTGCCCAAATGGGCTTTCTTGTACTGTTTATCATGCCATTTCTGGTCCCGTTGGTGATTACAGAGCTTCCTGGCAGTATGCAGACCACGACACTTGCCCATGCTGCAGGCACCGCAGACCGGGAGAGAAAGAGGTGCTCCAGGAAGGACCCACAAGCCACTGCGAAAACCTCCAGGGCTTTTAATGTTTAGCTATCCCCAAATCTCAAGGGGTCTGAATCATGAACACATATATACAGGCGCATGTGCATGCACATGTACACACACACGTACACGTACACACACACACACACACACACACACACACACACACACGTGTGCAGCATAAAGATTGAGGGTCTGTTTAACTTGGGAGAAAATAAAAACTCAGTTAAGCTGTTATCAAAATTTTTAAATGGGGAAGGGATGTACCCAATTAGCCATTATTTTTTTTAGTCTTTAAAAGTTTATGCTTTATTTAATTAAATATAAAGTTAATAGTATCAGTGCTAGCCTCATTTGTTGTAATAAGGCGTTATTTTTAATTGGAAACAAGAGTGTATGACGCCACCTCTCCTAATTATTTACCTTTACGGGAGGCCAGGCTTCCAGAAACGCAAAGCTATTGTGAAGGTGTTGACATTCTCCCTGGGTGCAGTTTTTGCCCTAACTGCAGACAGATTACCTTTAGACAAATAAAAGTATTAGCACTGGCCTTGAACACCCAAATTTAGGACTGACCACAGATCTGCAAGACTTCTAAACAAATGCTGGCCTCCCCCATGATCAGGATTGACCAAACCACTGGCTACACAGTGTAACTCTCCCCTCCTCTTCCGCTACAGGGAAAGACGGGCCAGAGGCTTTATCTCACCCCTTGCTGTCACCGCTTTTGGTGTAACCAGTCTTCGTTCCTTTAAACTTGCCTCTTGGGTATAATTTTTCTTAGAGAGAAAAAAGAATAAGGTATTCAAAAAAATAGTGCACTCTTCTTTTGGTCCTACATTATTCATTTTCTACTTCTGGTAAAATAATCTCAATGAACTATCCTGCTACAATGTATTCAGTTAGTGTGAACAACTTTCCAGCCTGCTTTCCATTGAATGTGCTTTTCTTTTTCTTTCTTTTTTTGAGACAGGGTTTCCCTATAGCCCCAGCTGGCCCAGAACTCACTTTGTAGACGGGGCTGCCCTTGAACTCACAGAACTCACAAAGATTTGCCAGCCTCTGCCTCCCAAGTGCTGGGATTAAAGGCGTGTGCCACCACGCCTGGCTGAATATACTTTAGAGAAGTGAGTTTGGGCAGGCTGAGGTTTTTACAGAGTTTTCCGTATTCCTCAAATGCATAGCCCAACAACATTGGGAATAACAGTTGCTAAAATCAGCTTGTAAATTTTGAGAAACAATGCCTAATCTAGCTATTTAGAGGTAAGCCTTTTATTATAATGATTAACTTTTGAAAAGAGTTCTATGGTTTTGAAAACTCATGTGGCATTGTGAGAGACAATATAGCAGGAAAGTAAAGTGTGGCATGTGTTTAGACACAGGCCAATACAGATGTGCATGTATATAGATCACAAACATAAAATGCTTATATACAAAAAATATATATGCTGAGAAAGGTAAAGTTCAGAGTTTTCATTTTTGAGGATATAAGATTCATAAATAGAAGTGACTGCATCAAACACGTTTGGACAATTGGTCCAACAGAAAATGTATGACAGCCCAAGATGAAGAATTGACAATCCAGTTTTAATTGTTACTCAAGGAGAAAATGTGTTCCCTGTAGGAGAATCCCCAATCACTCCTATTCACTTGCTCTTGTATTTTCAGAGCACAGAGCCAAGATACTCTGAGATTAAGCTGTAACGTTACTAAGAGCTCTGTGGGATCCTGGATTGGATCCTAGAACAGATAAAGGACATTCATGAAATCTGCATAAAGTATGGAGTTTAGTTCATAAAAACATGCTGTGACCATTCTTTAGTTTGGCAAATATACCGTGGTTGTGTAACATATTAACCACAGTGGAAACGCACATCCAGGGTGTGATTTGGTGTCAGAGCCCTATAGCCTAACAGGACAAGGTCCTGGATTTGATTCCCAAAACCTCAAAGATAAAAAAAAATAACTAGAAAGAATGGGGGCAGGGTGAGCTCTATCTTTATAACTTTTCTGTAAATCTAAAGTAATTCCAGAATCAAAAATTCATGACAAATAAAAGAGCTGTTGTTAGGCATTGATTGAAACTACATTCTTAAGCCCTTAATGTTTTTCTCATGTTAAAGGAAATATAAGTAATTTTCCACCCAAGTGGCAGCTCCATTTAGTGATAATCTGGCAGTGGTCTCCATTCATGTAAAAAGCAAAGCTATTTGCATACATGGTGGTAATTATTTTACAGGTGGTGACCTTGAGGAAAAGAAGGTTCAGGGAGGCAGGGGAAGGAATTCAGATTTGGTCAATTCCTCAGATGGGCACCAACAGTCAATCACTATCTGAGAAGCCCAGCCTGGTTAGCAAGGCACAAGCAAGACCACTCACCATGGGGTGTCTATGGGAACTTTCAGGAGACAAGCTGCTGAACTGGGCAAAGGCTCCCAGTACCCACAACAGGAGGCATTTACAAACCTGGCAGGGCCTGGCACCTACTCAGAGATTTCAAGGTCAAGCCAGCATCACTTCCAGAGAGCAATGGAGTAATTAAGCTCACATGTCCAGGCAGAAGGCTGAGGAGCCACAGACTTGTTCCAGGCTGCCGGCTTGTGCTCACCACCAGGGTCTGGCTGCAGAATCAGGAGTCACATGCAGGTTCATTCCAGCCTCTCTCCACAGCATAGAGCTTAGCTTCTAGATGGTATGAAGTTGTTTTTTCTAAAATGACTTTCCAAATGCAAAATTTCTCCCAAGCTCCCAGGTGACCAAATCCCACAGACAGCCCATTCTTACCATCCAGTAGCAGTTGGTCGCAGAGATTTTATATGGTCCCAGAACTATTCTGATTTCTTCTCCGATCATAAGGATGGGTAGAGTTCTTCCTATTTTAATACCTGCAAACAAAGGTTTTTCATTTTCCCCTAAACCTGCCCTATCTACTATTTCCATCTGCCACACCTTTCTGGAAAGAGAGACTATGGTCACCATCAGACTGTTCCCCAAGGATCGTGGTGATCAGAGTGCTACAGTTTGGATGTCGCTTGTCCCCCAAAGGTTTACATGTTGGAAGCTTGATTCTTGGTGTGATGACGTTAAGACGTGGGCATTGGCCAGGAGAGGTAGTGCATGCCTTTACTCTCAGCAGAGGCAGGTGGATCTCCGTTAGTTCCAGGCCAGCCAGGTCTGTGTAGTGGGTTTCAGGCTAGATAGAGCTACACAGTGGGACCCAATCTAAATAAATAATACATACATTTTTAAAAAGAGGAACCTTGGGGCTGGAGAGACAGCTCAGCAGTTACGAGCACTTGCTGAGCAACCAAGTTTGATTCCCAGCACCCACATGGGGCAGCTCAAAACCACCTGTAACTCCAGTTCCCAGGGATCTGACTTCCTCTTTTGACCTCTGCTGGCACTGCATGCATATGGTACGTTTACCTACATACAGATAAAACATTCATAGATATAAAATAAAGATAAATAAATTTTTAAAAACTGTTAGAGCTGACTATTTGGGGGATTGTAGCATTCAAAGATTTGACAAAATTCTACAAATCCCATGTTTTTTTTTTTTTTTTTTAAGTGTAGGTAATCCCCAGACACCTTGAGGATGAATTTAATGAACCTTAGTTTACACAGTGTCAGTACTACAGGGGCTGAGACACCAAAATTCTGATACCCATTCCTTAGAGGAAAGTAGATTAAAAATGGCTAAATAGGCATAAGTGTATGTCTCTGTAAATTTATTACAACCCATTAGCCAGAGATCACTGCTCCTCATTTGTAAAAAGGTACTTATTTCATGAACTGCTGAGAAAGAATGTTAAATGAGCTAATATTTTTAGGGGGTTGCTGGGGATCTGAACTCAGGTCCTCATGCTAGATCAGCAGGTACTTTTCTGACTGAGCTAACTCCCGAGCCCCAGCCCCAGTGGCAGTTTAAAAAATATTCTTTTAATTTATTTTTATTTTATGTGTATGAGTGTTTTGCCTGCATGTATGCAAGTGCACCCATGTCAAGCAATGCCCACAGAGACCAGAAGAGGGCATTGGGTCCCCCTGAAACTGGAGTTACTGACAGCCTCCATGTGGGTGCTGGGAACAAAGTCCCAGTCCTCTGCAAGAGCAGCCAGTGCTCTTAACCACTGAGCTATCTGTCCAGCCCCTGAGCTATTTTTAAAAATATTTTATTTATTATTTTTATTTTATGTGTAAGAGTGTATTGTGCGCATGTATGTAAGTACACCTGTGTTCTGCAATGCCTGTGGAGGTCAGAAGAGGTTATCAGATCCCCTAGAACTGTAGTTAGGGATGGTTCTTAGTCACCATGTGGATGCTGGGAACTGAACCCAGGTCCTTTGCAAGAGCAGCCAGTGCTCTTAACTGCTCCCTGCCCACCCCCAACTAATTTTTTAAGGCACAGGTAACAATGCCTGGCACACATTAAGCACCAGTTAAGTGTTACATAAAAATACAACCGGATACCATGCAATACAGTACAGTGACAAGTATCTTTTCAGGTCACAGCACCCCACAAGATCCCTGGGAGCAACACCGGCATGCTGGCCAGAGCCACCATCTCACCAGTGAAAGACAAGCTGCCTTAACCTACTTTTCAAAACCCTGTTTTTGAGAGGGAAACTTTTGAAAAGGGTGAGCTTCTGGAAATGTCTTAAACATAAGCTGCTTTGCAAAAATGAAAACAAATATTTTGCTTTCCACCAGAAAATCCAGAATCTATGCCAATCCACAGTGAAGTTTTGGTTAAGTGCAAGGAGGAGAAGAAGCACCTGCCCTCTCAAAAGTAAGGCAGCACTCTGAAACGTGCAGGGGTCCCCTGAATCTGCAAATCACCCATTCCATTTCAAGGAGATGGCTCCAAACGCTAGAAAATACTCTTTCCTATATATACACACCTGTGAGGAAGGATAATCTATATCAAGCACAGTAACAACTAATAATAAAATAGAATGATTATAATAGTGAACTATAATAAAAGCTATGTGAATGTGATCTCTCTTAAGAAAGAGTGAAGACAATGGGGCTGGAGAGATGTCTCAGTGGTTAAGAGCACTGGCTGTTCTTGCAGAAGACCTGGGTTCGAATCCCACCACCCATATGGTGGCTAACAACTATCCGTAACTCCAGTTCCGGGGGATCCAACGCCATCTTCTGTCCTCCATGGGCATTGCTCAACATAGGTGTACTAATGTACATGCAGGCAATACAGTCACACACATAAAAATAAATTTAAAAAAGAGTGAAGACAAATATTCATGTTTTTAGTAAGAGGCTGACCGCAGGTTATTGAAAGCAGAGAGGATAAAGGAGCAGTACTGTATGCCTCCTACCCAAGACAAGAGAGTCCTTCTCCCAGGCTAGCTGAGTAGAGAGTGACTCAGAAGCTACCAACAACCGCCTTGCCCATGCTACCGTTCCCCAAACAGTCTGACAGGCAACATTTTTTTTTGATACCACCAAGTGGCTTAAAAGAACTTGTCAGATTCACTGAGAATGGACCCCAGCTAATTCTCCCTTCGAAAAAATTAAAAAGCAGAAATAAGAAATACAGCTTTAAATGCTTGGACTCCAGGGGGGTGTGGTGATGAACCACTCAGACTCTGTTCCAAACTGGAGTCCTCAGCACAGTAGCACAGCCACACACAGCCCTCAGCTGGCAGCCAGTAGTAAACTGCCCTCAGTAGCTGCCTCCAGTGAGGGGAGATAATGTCAGCCTCCAACATCACAACTCAGGACAATTCCTTGTTTTATTCTTTATTTATATTTTATTTTTATTTTGTGTGTATGAATGTTTTGCCTGCATGTATGTAAGTGCACCACGTATGTCCAAAACTGCAAAGGCCAGAAGAGGGTGTCAGGTACCCTGGAACTGTAGTTACAGACAGTTGTTAGCCACTGTGTAGGTGCTGGGAACTGAACCCAGGATCTCTGTAAAAGCAGCCAGTGCTCTCAACTACTGAACCATCTCTCCAGCCCCAACAACTCAGAACAATTCTTAAGGGTCCTAGGAGGATGCCCACTGGCCATCTTTCCAGCTTGCTTGAGGTTTTATAAAGAGCTTTATTGAGGTGTTATTGGTGTGCAATAAAGTATGAACTCAACACATACAATTTGGTAACTTTTCATTTCTTTTTTTTTTTTAATTTCTTTTTCTTTTTGTATTTCTGGGGATTGAACTCAGGGCCATGTGCATGTTAGGCCAGGCACTCTGCTACTAAACTCCATTGTTAACCCCCGCCCCCTTTCCTCTAGGAATGACTTTTATCTAACCTTGCAACCAATAAGTTAATCTTATTTATAATGCAGACAGGTTCACTGAGCAATGGACTCCTCTTGTGACCTAGGGATATAACCTTAATCCCTCATAACCCTTCCTTGCCCTTGATCCAAAATAATGTGTGTGGATGTGTGTGTGTGTGTGTGTGTGTTGTATATTCAAAAATTATCCCATTTGTGTAGCAAACAGGGATTAAACAGACAACATCTGTTTGTGGTTGTGTGTGTGCCATTCTAGGTCTGGAGGAGCCAGAAAGGGCAAATTTATTTGTTATGCTGGATACACTATTTCAATAAAAGAGTGAGCCCTTTCCTAAGGCAGTTTCATGAGTAATCATCTTAAGAAACAGGTTCTGAGAACAGCTGGATTCCTCTTGGCTGAAATGGATGTTAAGAGTTAGGTTGTGGGGCTGGAGAGATGGCCCAGTGGTTAAGAACACTGGTTGTTCTTGCAGAAGACCCGGGTTCAAATCCCAGCACCCACATGGCAGCTAACAACTGTCTGTAACTCCAGTTCCAGGGGATCTGACTGCCTCTTCGGTCCTCCATGGGCATTGCATGACACGGGTGCACTTACCTACATGTAGGCAATACATGCATACACATAAAATTAAAAAACTAATAATAAAATGTTTTTAAAAAGAGGTTGTCTTTTTAAAGAATATTTTTATTGATTTTTTTTGAGAATTTCATGCAATGTATTGTGTTTTTTTTTTTTTTTTTAGGGTGGCAGGGCTACCAAACTTGTATTGTGTTTTTTTAAATTTTATTTATTATTATTATTATTTTTTGTGTGTATATGAGTGTATTGCATGATGTATGAAGTGCACCCATGTCATGCAATGCCTGTGGATTCCCCTGGAACTGGAGTTCCTAACTGTTGTTAGCTGCCATGTGGGTGCTGGGAATTGAACCTGGGTCCTCTGCAAGAACAGCTAGTGCTCTTAATCTCTGAGGCATCTCTCCTGCCCCTAGGCTGTCTTTTTCTATTTTTTATTTTTATTTTTTATTCTATGTGTATGAGAGTATTGCCTGCATGTATGTGAGTGCACCTGTATCATGCAATGCTGCAGAGGTCAGAAGAGGATGTTGGATTCCCCTGGAACTGCAGTCAAGAACAGTTTGTAGCCACCATGTGGGTGCTGGGAATCAAACCCCTGTCCTCTGCAAGCGCAGTCAATGCTCTTAACTGCTGAGTCATCTCTCCAGCCCCTAGGCTGTCTTTATTTAAGCATTATCATGACATGGCATCTTATAGCAACTGCCACGTCTTCCTTCTTTTTTCTTTAATTCTTTCATGTTCTCACTAAGCTGCCCAGACCGGTGTTAAATTTGTGATCCTTCTTTCTCAGCCTTCCAAGTAGTTTGGAATAGAGTTGTGCACCACCATGGCCTGGCTGATAACTTTTAACATATGTACATCCATGTGACTATCATGAAGATGATGAACAAACCCCAAGAACCCTTCCAAAAGTTCCCTAATGCTCCTTTTCTCTCTCCTCTTTCCTCTTGTGCTATCCTCTTCCACCCCCCACCCCATCCCCCAAATAACTAATTTTTAGGGTTTTAAATAGAGTCCACAGTGCTTCCTCCTTTCACAGGGTTGTCTGGTAGGTATTCAGGGGCGGGAGAAGCACTGGATCCCCTGACCAAACACTTTTAGTCTCTGCCCCACTTTTCACTTCTCTCACAGACCCCACCCAGGCCCAGTGCCCAGTTATCCCATGGACGCATAACAGATCAATGACCTGGTGCATCTTGGGTCCAGGCTCCCAAAGTCCCACATTTGAACCCCTAACTGTCTTGCTCAGTGAGAAGACACTGTTCCCCACTTCTCTCTGGCCTCATTTGTAACTCTGAGGCAACAATAGCTCCAACAAGGGCCGGCACACTGATTAAATGAAATCTTGGCCATACCCTCAACAGACAGCAACCATTAATGGTTTTATGATTATGGCTCCCAAATGTTTCATCTGTCACCAGCCTCATTCCTTCTACATACTCTATAAGTTCCAGTTGTTACTGAGTTGTGTATATTCAGGGGCATCCACGAAAAACCTGCCACAAAGCCTGTCCTGTCCTCCCCAGGCCCCGCTCCTGCAGCTGTACCACCCAAGTCCAGATCCTCATGTCCCCTTCCTCTTTTCTAATCGCACAGTTCTGTGGATTCTAGACATCTGGATTTCACAAGCCAATAACAATTTTATGAATTATTATTGGAACAAAATTATTTCAATTTTTTTGCCATTAAAGTTACTAAATAAATACAACTAACACCATACTCTCATTAACAAGATGATTTAACCTCCTCCAAGCACAAAGGCCACAGTGCAGCTCAAAGTGCTACTCTTTGAAACAAATATGTAGTGTTAAGAAAAGCTCACTGTATGGATTTTGTTTTCCTCATTTCTCACGTGACTGAAATTTGAGCACTGACCCATGCCCATCTTTTCACAGACAGCATTCCAAAGCCTGTTGATGTGTCATCTTCCTTCCTGTCTTAATCCATCTGAGCTGCTATCAGGAAGCACACCATAGACTGGGTTGCTTCATAACAACAGAGATTTAGCCCTTCTAGTTCTGGAGTATGGAAGTCCAAGATTAAGGGACTGGCAGATCTGCTTCCTCAATACGTCTTCACTGGTGGAGAGAGGGAGAGGGAAGGAAGCAGACTTTCTGCTGTCTCTCCATCTGTGGATGCTGATGCCCTTGTGAGGACTCCACCCTTGTGTTCTAATCACTTCTCAAAGGCCCTATCTCCAAATACCATCATGTTGGTTTCAACATAGGAATTTTGGAGACAAGCATTCACTTTTCAGCACGGACTAATCTTTCTCCTGTCTATCCCAAGCAAACATTCTTAGAACTCACCTTTGGTACCCTTAACCTTCCTAACGAACAACTGAGGATCATACTCTTGTTGCAAGTAGGACTCATGAGATCTAGCATCCCTAGTTCAGCCAATGAGAGTCCTCTATATACCAGTTTGCACTTTAGAATTTGGAACACATCCCCCATAGAAACAAGTAGTAGGGAATTTCTTTCCATCCACCATCACATACTATGCTGTGTGGAGCACAGCCCTCAGAGCCCTTCAGAACCAGTGGCTACATATAAGAGCGCAGCCTCAGTGGGGAACCCCAGCACTCTTTTTTGAGACTACAGTCCCTTCTTTCTCCAGACCAGAGTGCTTCCTTGGGGGATTTTCCCTGACCCTCCCACTGCACAGTATCTCAAACCTTCTCACTAAAGCACACAGAAAAGGTCTCCTAAGATTTTTTTCACTGCTCCTAACAATAGGAAACAGACAATGGCTAAAAATAACAATGGGCAAAGTGACAGCATTTCCAGAAGACTGAAAAGAGTTTCATTACCAGAATTCCTGGGGTTCAGTGGTATGTGAAAATGGGTCCTCCCCTCCAGTCTCATCTGCTTCAGGCCTTCCCCAATCTGTTCTGTAACTGTAGCTGCTCTTCTGGGTCTGCAAACACCCTCCTCTGGCCCTATGAACTCCCTAGACCTCCCTACAGAAGCACACCTGCACTTCGGACCTTCCACAAGGAAAGCTTTCTCCTCCGATTTCCCTCCTCTTTTAAACTCAAATTTTAAAAAAGAATGCAAGGCACTACAGTATAGAGGGCTCTCTGGGAACTGAGAAGGCTCTAATGAGGTCCTTGTGAACATCAAAGAAGCACAGGCTTGCTGTCACTCCCCTAAGAAGCTTTGCCCTCCCCTGACCAGCAGGGCAGGAGGTACCCAGCTGGAGGAGCACCATTGGGGGAAGGGAAGCAACTGCCTCAGTGTCATCCATCTGGGGGAGTGAAGGGAACCAGAGGGGCTGACCAACTTACTAGTACTTGCATGGACACCTCTGAGCCTTGGGTCCTGGTAAAGATGTCCCCTCACTCGTGTGGACTCCTCTTCAGAGCATGGTCCACTAACCTGCAGTGTAAGCATTACCTAGAGATCAACAGAAGGGACTCAGGCCCTCCCTAGACCTGCTGAATTCCAATCTGCATTTTAATATGGCCTCCAGCTAAGACATATGGGCATTAAAATATGAAAAGCAGCCTTCTAGAACATCTAGGAAACATTCTCAAGTAGGGTGATTTTTGCCCCCCGGGGGTATTTGGGCACATCTGAAAACATTTCTGGTGTCTCTTTTTAGTCCTGTTTCTTGGCCTTCTGCATACCTTGAAGGCCTCTTCTCACTGTTCCATTATCCTGTAAGTTCTGCTCCTCCTCCAGCCTTAGAACTGTGAGGGGGACTGTAGTCACTGGGGTGTTCCTGGCCTCTCTTCTGGAGACCACTAAATGACAGTTCCCAAATTTGCTCTGAGGTTCTTCTTTGTCTCTGGGGAACTCTGTGGCCTGGGTGGTGGGCACCAGGGAATGAATGCCCCCCCCCCAATTAATGTGCACCCAATAAAGGAATGAGAACGAAACTCAGTATATGGATTCCATGCATCTTGACAGGACAATTCTGAGGTATGTCTCATACTCTTCTCTCTCCTCCCTCACCTCTATTCTTCACCACAATTTCTGTACCAAACCCTTGACCAGGGTCTGCTTTCAGGGAACAAAACTAAGACAAGTATTTCACTCATCACTAAATCCCCAGTGTTTAGCCACACACACAACAAAGACAGGCAGAAAGACAGACAGACAGACAGACACACACACACATACACACACCAGACTATTTATGGACATGAAATAAAAGTTCTGTTGTGCCTTGAAAATCCAAACACAACAGCAATCAAACTAATAAAACCCCACTGATGACCTTGGTGATAGAAGAAGCCAGAAGAACATATCTTTGTATCTTTTCCTTGAGTTTTGATTAAAAAAACTCTAAAACAGCTCAGTCTCCCACCTACACTAGCAATTCAGTGTCTAATTCTCACATAGAAAGAATTCAGTGACTAGGGTCGAAAGCTCTGGAGTCCAGTAGGACAAGGCATGAAGTTCGGCCCAGCAACCTCCTGCACTCCTGAGTTTCATGTAATGAATGTTGTCACCTGTAAAATGGATTAATAGCTGTACTACCCACAGGGTTCAGCAGAGGATGTAATGGTAAGGGACTTAGAGGATTTAATTCAGTCCTGGCCCAGAATAAACCTTTAACAAATGCTCTCAATATTACTATTACTATTATTTAGTTGCCCATGTTGGGCAGTCTCCATGTTTACTCAGGTAATTGATGAGTACGGAGTGCCAGTTACATGACAGACACCCAGAAATGACTTACTATATGAGTGGATGATGTAACAATCTAAAAGTGGGATGCAAAAAGCCTACAATGTTCCCCTGTGTATGTGTGCACTCATCATATGCATGTGCACATGGAGGTCATATGTCAACCTTGGGTGCTGTTTCTCAGGAACCATCTACTTTGCTTTTTGAGATAATGTCCCTCAATGGCTTGGAGCTCACCAAGTAGGCTAGGCTGGCTGGCTAGCAAACCCCAGGGATCCTCCCATGTCCCCCTCCCCAGTGCTGGGATCCCCAGAGAACCATCACACCTGGCTTAGATTCTCATGTTTGCACTGCAAGCACTTTTACAACTGAGCTATCTCCCTAGATGCCCTTCTCCCTTCCTTTTTGGCAAAAGCTCTTACATAGACCTTTTCCTGCTCATTAAGCCTACTCTGTAACTAAGCAGCTGTGTGAGCTTAGGAAAGACACTCCACTTGAAGTCCTACCTATAAAGCATAGACCAGTAGTTGGTCATTTCTAGGGCCTCTGCCAGGCTTTCACTTAGGATTCCTTGGCATGGGAGGCCAGAGCAGTCTGCACTGGAGCAGCAGGACACAGTAGGCAGTAGTTACACTGCTTACAGAGGTGGCTGGGTTGTTTTTGGTTGAGAACCATCCTGTACATTGTCAGGTGGTGAAAAGTATCTTTGGCCTCTACTCATGGGCTCCCCCCAGCAAAGCCAGTACTGATGTCTCCAGACATTGTCAAACATCCCCTAGGGCAAAATCAGCCAGGTGGAGAATCCCAGTGGTAGAAGTTTGTTTCACTAGTGATCCACAAACAGACAGGTCCTGTGGTCTACCCCAGCTTGATGTGAGGGAGAAGTCAATGTTGTCCCCTCACTTTGGTTGGCCTGATTTACTTTTACTAGACTATCAAGATCACTAACAAAAGTCCTAAGAACTTCTTAGCTATTTCTTCCTTTTCCCCTAACTAGCTCTTCCCTTCTCCTTCATCCTTCACTCTCTACTGCATTTCATTAAAACACAGGCCTTTTGGAAACAACCAGGCATTTGCGCAGAGTTAGGATTATTTTGTTTTCCCTAGTCTATCATTAGCCACATTTGCCTGCAAATAAGATGGATGTTGTTAAAGCTCATCTACTCACATCCCCAGAACATAATCCTCTCCATGGTTATCACTATCTGTTTATGACATTAGGAACAGCAGGAGACCCAGATTCCAATACTCAAATGATCCTGACATGCAAATGTGTCATAAAATCTCAACAAAGGCAGAAGATTTCAAAGGATTGATTAGCAACAGTTCTGCTGTTAACTAGAAGGGTCTGAGGGCTTTTCTGGGCAATGGTCAAGGTTGCTGCACAATGGGACATGAGTGCCATGCTCCGTGCTGAAAATCAGAGCACCCTCACAGACCAGAGCATGCCTCGGGTGTGAGTACTAGGGCTCAGAGAAACAGAGAGCAGCTAGATGTGCTGCCACCTTCCAAATGGCTTTCTGTAAACAGAGGCTCAGGTTTGGTTATGTTCATCAATTCCTTCTTTTATCAAAAGTAGATTCTTGTGGCTGGAGAGATGGCTCAGGAGTTAAGAGCACTGGCTGTTCTTGCAGAGGACCCAGGTTTGGTTGCCAGAACCCACATGGTGGCTAATAACCATCCATAACGCCTGTTCCAGGGGCTCTCAGCTGCCTCTACTGGCTCTTCAGGATGAGTAGAGCAGCAGGGCAGGGTCAATGGAGGGACAGGGAGGACTGATGAGGAGCCTGGGAAGAGCAGTGGAGGGACAGGGAGACTACTACAGTGATGGGGAGAAGGGATACAGTAACAGAGTGTACCCCTCAGTGACTAGGAAGAATGGTGGAATTATGGGGAGGACTGCTGCTGGATTGATGGGGAGGACTGTGGTGATGAACAGGCCTGCTGCCCTGTGGGGAAGATGGGGGAAGATAGCTGTCGTCAGTGTGAAGGCATGCTCTACTCCTTTCCCCTGGCCTTGGATTTTTATATTTTCTCTGCTTCTTCCTTCCCTCCAATCAGTGCCTAACAGACACCTTGCTGTCCCTGCCTCTTTCCAACGTCCCACCTTGAGAGCAGCCTTCCCTCACCACAGTCCCTTCATGCTCTAAGTCCTTGATCTGCTTTGATTTTCTTCAAGAAGACATTGGCCTCCCTAGTTTCACTGCGTCTGCTTTAGTTGCCTTGCTTTGTGCCCATACCCTGAATGTGAGTACCATAGGGTCAGGGGCTTGGGATGTGTGACTCTCAACACAGGGTATAGGCTCTGTCAATATTTGGTACAGGGATGAGGGTCTGAGTTTGGACTGTCGGGGTGGCCAAGAGAGAGGGGGTTTGCAAATGGTGCTAAGCAAGAAGGGGTCTACCTGCCTGACTTGAAAGATTTACCCCACACCTTGAATACTTTGCCTTCGATTGTATCTTTGCTTATCCTTAGAGCAGATCTACGTTCTCCTGGTACATCCAGCCAGTGACTTCAGAGAACCAAGTCTTCAGACCAGAGTAGGAAGGAGAGAGGTGGACAGCATTCTGCAGACAGCCAATGATGTTATCCTGTCCCCTTCCTAATGGATGCTGCCAAGTTTTCTGAACACCCAGTTCATGGGTCTATTTTTAGGTAACTCCAGTGGTAACCTAAACAATAAAAGCAGCCGTCACCTCATAAATGCAAGATCAGCAGGCCCTTGCATGTATGAACTTGTCAAAATAATTACAAGGCACTTTTTCTGGAGATCATTAAAGCTAATTAGTAAGAAAATAGTTTTTGAATAAGGAGATAAGCTCGGCTACAGGAGAAATACTCTCACTTCTTATATCCCAAATTAAAACCCTGTGTTCCTTCATAAGTCTGCCTGTTGGAACACAAAGATGCATTCCAAGATCACCTCGATCCTGGAGGATTCCACACTCCACCCTCCAGCTGCAGCATCAGTTCAAGGCTGGCAATGTCGAGAAGCCATTGCTAGGGCAGGGCCTATGCCCTTATTTATGTGCTGTATTCCTTAAACAAACGGCATGTGCCGATCTTCCCCAGGTGTTGTCTAGAAGTGAGCCTTCCCAACAAACCCATGAGACTCAGGGCTAAAACCATAGGCTCCTGACAGCAGGTGGCCTGGCAGTGTGTTGCCTCTACCGCAGAGATCTGTGGCGCTACCCTCAATCCCCAATGGGCTGGAAGATGTCTAGGCTCATTCCTCCCATGATCTTAGGGTTTCCTTGCCTCTCTCTGAGTCCTGAAGTTCATGTGTCATTAAACTTGCATTTGATGAGCAATGCCTTCCTGTGAGCTCTCAAATCCCAAGAAATTAAAGTCACCTTGCTCTGTCTTCAGAGAAAGCCACAGCACATACCTGCAAAATGGATTTGTGGGTCCAAGAAAGGCTTCTGGGGAAATGCTTCCCACCTTTGTCCCTGGTGGAATGCTGAGTTTGCAGTGCAAGGTGGACTGGAAGGTAAGAGACTCAGAGAGAGGCACGCAGAGAACTGAAAGCAAGCTCAGGAAGAGGGAAGGAGGACAAAGTGATGACAGACACACAATGGGTACCTGGGTAGTTTACCAAGTCCATCCCAAGAGCCCCCCACCAGCAAGGTGCAATAGAGGAATCAGCAGCCCAGATTCCATATATCCCCGAGGGTTCAGATGTTCCCCTTCCACCCAGAGCAGATCCATCATGGACTGCATTTCCCACTCAACCAGCATCTGAGCAGAGACATGGGCTGAG